TAGTTCAAACTTGCGTGTTTTATTTCGCTGAATTATTCTTAGATGAGCCAAAGTTCTACCCACAAAAGAAAAAGCACTATATATGCCAAGTGTTACTCGGAAATCAAGACAAGGTCATAAAACTTCCGATAAGCCTAAAGCTAAAAAAGGTTATAGAATAATTCTTGAAATAAAAAATTTCAAATTTCAAATCCATGTATTGTTCCCATTCTTCACGTTACGGAACTCTACCACTACACATACATACGTTGATTTTATGATATTTGAAAGTTTCAAATGCGACTTAACTTCTTAGCCATATAAAGTTTTCAATTCGAAACTTTCTAATGACTTAGAAAGCATTTTTTACTTGCAATAAATACGCGAGTGGAGTAAAATATCACAGAAAAGGGAAGGACAGAAAAAAATCTGAATCAACTTTTACCAAATATATATATACATATAACTACAATTTATTACATCAAATTGAGCCCTGTGTGAAGGAAAAGTTGGTAAATATAAGTACATACATAAAGTAAACATGAAAGTTTTCAACGCGATCATTTTAAATTTTATTCGATACCCTTGTTCTAAAGTTTTTAATTAGGTAGTTCCTAACCTTATGTAGAATTTTTTTTAAATATCTGTAGTTGTATTTTAATCAAGTTGTAAGTAAATATCCTTTGGCCTTATCAATATTTAATACAGCGAGAATACTTGGATTCAAGTTTAAATAAAACCAAGCTGCGTGATTAAATAATGATGAAAAACATGAACAACAGTAAGACTTGTGTAATGCTTGCGTGTCATGAAAATCCCGTGGACATGCACTAACAAAAATTTTTAGCAATTACTTATTGACTAGCTAGACTATTTAGGTGCGTGGGGAGTTCAGCTACATATTCCACAATTTATCAATATCAATGCAAGCAATGAACAGTAAATAAGTATATTGGTTGGCAACAATAGGCAAAAATGTCCGTGTTTAAAATTATTTTTGAAAAAGTTGTGACGATTTTAGTGAGGATTTCAAAAATGAAATTTGTAGAAAATGGGGCAGAATGTTGAAGTTTGCTTAATACCGACTTTTTGCAAATCTTTGCCCAGATCTGCAATCCCCAAATAATTTTGAACATTTTTGTACGTAGTGCGGCATTGTTGGGATTTTTTTGTTTAAACATATTGTCTTATGAGAAGTTTTCTACAAATTTTTTGTCTTAATTTCGAAATATCGATATTTCAATGTCGAATTTTCAGAACAAGAAATTAACATACAATTCAATTATACAATGAACAAATGACTTATCGAAATAGAGGAGTGACCCCGATGGTCACCTGCAATCATAAAAAACACCTCAAGTGGCTGTGGCTATGGGCGTTTTGGGCAATATCCTCATAAAGTATTTCATGCGAAACAAATAACTTATCGGAATAGAAGGGGGACCTCGAGGGTCACCTAAAATCCTAAAAACACCCGAAACTGGTGTGCTGTTTAAGCGTTTTTGGTATTTAATAGCATCCTCAAGACATATGTCATGCAACTCAAATAATTTGTCATATGTACATTTTATTCACATATGTATTTACACGTAACTATATTTAATAGAAGAAAGTTATCAACACTGATATCGTGTTATCCACCACGGAAGCCATGAAGGTCTTAAAGGTCCCCATCTTAATGAAGTAGAAACATCCCACATTCATCCTCAATGACCTCAACGACCTTGCCGTGACACATTCCATCCGGTTCCTTCTCCCTCTCCGGGTAATACTTTGTTTAAAAGTTTCTGAAAGTTGATAAAATTCCGCCGCCCCGATGAAACAAGCGTGCTCAAGTTTGGTACAGAGGACAAACAACACTGCTAAAGAGAGCCCCTGGGTGAGCTCGCCCACCCCGCGGAACGACTGGATTGTTGCAACGGCACTGGCCGTGTGCATGACGGACAAGCACAATTGCAAAATTGGCCACGCGGAAGGACCAAAGATTGAATCTTGTGCCCGTGCGAGGACAGCGAGAGTTTTGTAGAGCATCAAGTTCTTCGGAAACATCGAGTCAGCGTAATTTTCCCTGAAAATTGGAAGTTCGAAATTTAAAAACAGTGAGGATATTCGAAATAAGTAAGTGGCTGAAGCCGTTGGGACATTAACGTTGTCGGGTAGTTGAGGGAGGGGTTTAACGCATAACGTAGAAACCAAACAGACATAAGACAAGAAACAGACAGTTTAGACAGATAACAGGGGTTGGTACGCACCAACCTATGTAAATGTTGGTACGTTAATATTTCGTAAGCGTTTCAACTATGTACGTAATTTTACGATACGAAGAATACAACGAATATCTACGAATGAATCATGAATATCCTCAATATAAATATGAAGTACTTTAATTTATTCTTAAATTTGTAAGTACATACCTGACAGCCCATTTTAGCCAGAACTTGGTTGATACACTGTAGAAGACGAGAGTGGCAGTGCCGTACAACACGAGGTACCAGCCAATGGCGGTAACCTCAAATTCCAGCAGGGCAGTGATGACAATTCCTACAATACAATTATTGTATGTTTGATTAACGGTTTCTAAATATATGTAGCTTATTTCTTTAGAGAATTTCCTCAAACCGGTGAAATCTCAATGAGCACTCACCATACCAGGAGTGGTAAACACTCCCAGGGACAACACCTGATATCCAGTACCGGGTACTACAACGATCTTTTAGATGCTCCACAACCGGTAAAAATGGAACAAGGAGGACGAACATGATTACACTCACGCGGGGAGAGGGAATACCTTCATTACGCCCATTATCCTCGCCTATCAGTATTCGTTTATCTGAAATCAAAACGTGTATTTTTTACTACTTGTTCTACTTGTTACATATTTAATGCATGCTTACATATTAGATTTCATAATTGTCAAGTTCATTGATCAGAATTACATACATAATCTTACATAAAAATTCGTAATGCTGCCTTTGAAAAATACCAATATTTGTATTTAGATTCACTCTGAATTCTATTTTAAGTAAACGGTACCGTCAACTTGATCAAGAGTAAAGTTTACTCGGGATTTATTTTAGTTTATGCTGAACATGGGCATATTCGCTTTTCAAAAGGCAACATAAGTTTTTATGGTATCAAGGTCTGGGAATGACTTACTTTTCTGTGCCAGTTGATAATGCAAGGTGTAAACTTGATTAAAAAATGGTATCGTTTCCTTAAAATTTCGTCCCATCCAGACCACTACGAGGCATCCGAATATTCTCCCTGTCCCGTCAAGAAGTAACTTGATCAAGCTGTCGGCATCCTGTTTTTCTTGATAAAGCGTCCTAAGAATTTTTAGGGCCAGAATTGAGCAGAAGGTGTTATAAAGGGCGAAAAATTTCCATATAAAGGGACGCACTTTGCTCCTCAAAAGGACGAGTTTGAATTTATTTTTGTCCCAGTGTACCGGCAAAAGGCAGAGGGTTTCCGCAATTTTGAAAAATATTGGGACCCATATTTTAAAAGTTTTTGGTGCCCAGACAAATTTTAATGTTTCCACAATACCGAAGAAAACTTGGTAAAACATGGCAAAGTTTTCGTATAACAGTGAAACGATGTACACTTTTAGAAATTGAGTATTAAAATAATACCAAACCGTATTCATGCAATTTTTTTTACGGATCGGTATAACTTTAGTGCGGGGAAATCTGTAGACGCGGGACTAAATATACCGGTCTCCTAACCGTGGAGACTAACGAAATAAATAGTTTCCCCGAACATTTATATTTACAGAGAGTTATTTAGGTTTATGTAATATTTTAATTTGATTTCTTATTACATTTTATAATAATTGATCTCTTGGCATTTGACGTGGCTGGCCTATATATAATTTTAGTTTCAAGATTGATATCACGTTCGTTTGTTGGGAGGTTAATATATTATGTAAGGTGAAATGACGGAGATGGGGTCTACCACTCGAGTGATCGTGTTAAGAGGGGGTCTAGAAAACAGCGATTTTGGTTTTTACATTGTTTGTGAAGGTCCCTTATGTCCTCTTGTTCTAAAATTCCATTAAGTTCAAGACTGCGTCATCGTGTGGAAAATTCGTTTGGTTTTTATGCTTTATACAAATATTTTTAATCCCAGCAAGAAACCAGTATTAAATTAGCCATAAAACATTCATGCATTTTTAGTCAACCAATCCAATCCAATAAAGCAGATTAAATATGTACATACATACTTATTTTCAGATTAATGCAATTTCCGTTGTGGACTAATGGAAGTATTTTTGGCGAATTTCATTTAATCTAAGCGCACATCTCGATTTTTTTGGCAAATAACTATTTTCGGGTCTTTCGGAAAGAACCCGTTTTTTTACGGATGGTTATAAAACTAAGAGCTTTCTGTCTGCGTGAAAATAATGCGAATAATACTCAAATATTATTTATTTTTAGGTTTTCGTCATACAAGTAAGCAACATTACCAATGGAATAAAATTGACACATCACATCATCTCAAATGACGTGGACAACGTATGTACATACATACAATGTAGCTAAATAAACCCTGTTAAATACTTAATTGTGTAGTTTGTCATCAGCAATATGTATGCCTGTCACAACAACAGATCACTTTTAAAAAATAATAACAACTCATCTCTCATTCAACTGGGGGGGACCAAGCGTTAAGGATGTCATTCGCTTGGGAGGGATTTCTTTCTTACACTGTTAGCAATCTGATATAGTCAGAAAGGTGTCGATTTCTCGGCATTAAAGTTGCTACCGTTTGGTTTCAAAATTATATCGGTCCGTTAAAATTTGCTAATGATATGGTAAAAATATAATACCGAACTATTACTAGGCGGTTTTACTTGTCGATACCAATTTGGTTGAATCCGATATGAATACCGCTCGGTATTATTTTAATACTGGATTTCTTAACAGTGTTATCACCACTGCACGTCCGAGTTTCTCCACAATAAACTCGTGTAGAAACGTCTGTCCCATCATTCGTGCACCGTCCCCCACTCTGTTAATGGCCCACTTATACACTCAATCTTTCCCAATTACATGGTCACGTACTCGTATCCGTTCTAGAACAAAATATGCGTAGTTGTCAATCTGTCTTTTTGTGGTACCGTGGTTGGCGTCGAGTACTCGAAAATGGGGGCCATGCATACCAACTTGAGGCTTTCTGTACATTATCCACTTCCTAAACTCTGACCTAATCATTGATTACTAAATAAACGGGAATCTATCGCATGTACTTGTGCAACGCCCCCGTCGATAAGAACTGGAAGGCATGAATTTAATAATATATTCTAGCAACGGATACAGCAAAGTAGCGGAGGTAAAATGCTAATTATGAAATATTTTTGCGTAACATTGACCTCATTATATTCAAATTTTGCGTATGATCTTCTTATAACTTCTAAAAATTTTAAAGAATTCATGTCGGAAAATAGAACATTGAAGTGTAAAGGGCAAGAATATTTGGGTATAAAAAATTATCGGACTGACGGACAGACGGACGGCTTGACCGCAGTAAGTATACTTGTAATATTTTTCGAATAAATCCGGCATCTACGCAGCTAACTAAAGTGACTTCGCTCTCTTAAGGTCAGTCATATATGAAAATTAATTGGTACTCGTATTTATCCCCTTCATTTTGATGAATTGAGCTCATTCCCGTTTCGCATCGAGCTTTATCAACTTGCTGATTTATTTGCACTTTACATAAAAAAATGGCAAATCAAACCACTTTCGTCCTCCTGATCGTCCTAGTGTCAAAGTTCTGCGGGTCAGTTCCACTCCTCCGCGGGTACAGTGATCCCGTCTTCCTGGACGCGGAAATTAAGCGGGTGCGTGGCGGGAATTTTAACGTATCACAAGTTGCCCCAATGGAGGGGGGAATTAGTGATACGAAAATATCGAAAGTTCCCGTTGACATGGAAGGATCTGGTCAAGGATCGGGCGAAGAAGGTGATGACAGCACAAGTGAAGAACTTGATGTCACGTGTGCACCGGGAAAAGGATGGCATGTCCGAGGACAACGGTGTGTCCCGGTTGATTGCCCGGGTTAGTCGGAAACATTCAGAAAGAAATAAATTTCTGAAATTTTGGTTATTGAAAATTGATTTTGATTTTTATTAGGTGGAATAAATAAGCGCTACTTCAACACCGGTGAATGCATGCACGCCCCCGCAATTCCACCAATGGCAAGGTAAATTATTTCCCATTCTCTTAAAAATAGCCTGACCATTTAAAAAAAATAAATTCTTAATTCTATATTAGGTAAACTATGCTAAATCCGGAGTAACATTAAGTACTTGATAAAGGGAAAAGTTACTCTGGATTTGGTATAGTTTACTTAATTTGTTTTTCAAAAGGGCAACATTATTTTTAAGAGTGTATTTAGAAATAATAACGAATTAATTTTCCTCCAATTTGATAAGCTTATCCAACTTTTCAATTTAAATGTTTAGATACAAGCCTTACTCCGAGTGGAACAGTTTAAAGTAAGACACATTTTTTTGCAAGGGGTAATGCGCAAAGCATGTCACTGATTTGAAATTCATGACATTATTTATGCTTAAAATTAATGACTATTTACAATGAAATCGTTCTAATTGTATTGATTTGTGTCACAGCCACGTGTACCCGTCGCATCCCGGCGTGCGACCGCTGTCAAAGGGAATGCGCGCTTTCTTGCGCCGTCGCGGATGATGGGTGTCCCCTTCACATTATTTGTACAATTACTTCACAACGAACCCTTAACCCGTCTAAAATATAGTTCAAAACTTATGTATTTATATATGATGAAATATTTAGCACGTGACAAATGGGAAGACAATTACAACATTTTCTATTTTTATTTTTGGTACATACACATTCTCAATTGTAAAACTTTTGCTTAGAAAATGTCACGTTTGGGGGAAATATCTGCAAGAAGTGAAATAAATTTTGTCACAAATTGTACGAACTAATTTCTCTACGCATGTATATAAGTATTTGCATTAAAGTGCCCTTATGCGTATAAGTTTCTCTTATTCTACAACTCTTAGGGGCCGTACACAAAGCATGTGATCCAATTTTAAGTAATTTTGACCCCTACTCCTCGGGGTGACATATATGCGCCATGTGATAATTAACATGAGAAGGATATGTAGGATGCCATGAATGACCCCTTCCCTTCTCGAATCGATCACATCCTTTCTGCACAGTCCGTTAAGGTGATCATTAAAAACATGAAAAACAGCATTTAACACGTACCTACATACATACACATGTGTATGAATTGAAGGCTAGCATCTTCTCATATAAACAATAGTGGATTTCATGCCTGCAGACTTGTAGAATGAGAATCACAATAAAAGTTTTATCGTCAATTTGACATCTAATTTGCATATGCTTATAGTTCTTTATTCTGGACAAATACAGATTACTTACCTGTCATTCATTAGCAATTGGATGCATGAGTTAATCATTCCTAAAATAATTAATTAATCATTCCTAAAATTCTGGGATATCCAGTTTTATAAAAAAAAAGTTCCTTTCCGTGAAAAAATATTTATTGCATAAAGATTACACAATATGTATGACCCTTATGTAAAACACCGCTATAAAAATCCACCTGAACCAGGTTATACAATGGAAAATCATTTTTTATCGTCAATCCTCTTCGCCACATTAAACAGAATTATTTTATTGTATGTATAACGTGGACACGATTGATCAACCAGTTTTATATAAATAATTCCAGACACCTGACACCCAAATAATTCCCCTCACTCAGCATCACTTCACGTGTGCAAAACTCCAATCCAACTCTGCATTAATTTTTTGCGCAGAATTTTTTATGGGAATTTAATATTTGCATAACTTCTGCCACTCCTATCTTATCACTTGCAAGGTAATTAACTAAAACAATGGGGCAAACTTGACTTTGACCAGTTCTTTTTATACTGAATCACGTACCACTTTATGCTCAGTCTGTCGCAGAATTTTGGTCTATCCTGGTATATTGCAAAAATTAAATTCGCAATTAAAATGGGCAGCCTAGGCGATTCTACCATTCCGGTCGTGGATCTTTCCCCCCTCGCTGGAAAATATGAGGACCTGAACGACGCCGTTTTTGGTCAACTGGTCGAAAAAGTAGGACAAGCTTTTAATGAAGTTGGATTCGTTTATATTGTAAATCATGGCGTGGATATGGACAAGGTCGGTTTTCTATTTTTTTTAATTCGTATTTTATTTTATACATGGAAAAATATTAATTTTCAGATTGAACACATCCACAAATTATCGAAAGGCTTCTTCACTATGTCAGCAGCGACGAAAAATAAGTACAAGAAGCCAAACGCTGCGATCAACTGGCACGGGTATTCCGGACCTGGAGATGAATTGTAAGATATTTTATGAAAGGTAATCAGTAGCCGCGGATGGTGCAAGAACATGAAAAAAAACACTCTTAGAAATCCAGTATTAATCTAATATGTACCAAGCGGTATTCAAATATGACGTAACCAACGCGTTATGTAAAGTTGTCGTGTCTAGAATTTATGTAAGAGTAGTTAAGAAATTTTTACCGATCGGTATAACTTTAATACCAAGCCATAGCTACTTTAACCTAGAAATCTATGCCTTCATCAGTACGGCAGATTTTTAATAGTTTTCCTTTTAAGAGAAGAAAGACTTATTTTTAAATTAAAAAAATAAGTATTCTGTACAACAACCGGCGGAAATTATTTACATAAGTGACTAAATGTATTCCCATAAGTTCACATATCCGCGGTCAATGTCTGTAATGTTTGTCCCTAATCTTATGTGAATTCATATCCAATTTATACCTAATTTTTTCTCCATCAGCCTAAACGAAGCTGAAAAAAACTCCACCGAACTCCGTGAAATGTTTGACGCCTGGGGATTCGAGCAATTCGACGAGAAACATTTCCCCACCGAAGTCCCCGGCTATAAAGACGCCTTTGACGCCGTTCGACCCGAATGCAACAACGTAGGCAAAAAGCTTCTTCGCCTCCTAGGAAAATATTTGCATCTCGACGACGACGAGCTTTTCGTCAAGGCGCACAGCTTTATGAACAACCCGACAAAAATTCGGACCCATTCCCAATTCCGGACTTTGCACTACTACCCGATGGAACCGAATGATCCGAGCATCCCGCCAAATGCGATCCGATGCGGGGAACATGCCGACTGGGGGACAATTACGCTCCTGTTTCAGGACATGGTCGGGGGCTTGGAGGTCAAGCGGCTGGACGGAAGTTGGATCGAAGCCACGCCCATCGAGGGCTCGATCCTGGTAAACATCGCGCAACTGATGGAACTCTGGTCAGCCGGGATTTTTCGGGCGACCCCGCACCGGGTCCGGATCCTGGATGTGGAAAGAATCCGGAAAACGGCGAGGCAGAGTTTCATCTATTTTATAAACCCGGATGGAGATTATGTCGTTAAACCCGTGGTGAAATGTCCCCCGGGGGATGAAGAGTACTTGGAGAGAACGCCAATTGTGGCGTATGACCATTACTTGAGATTAATGGCGGATGCGACGCTACGTTATTGAAAGTTTGTATTTTCGGGGGTGGGAAATTTGGAATAAATTTAATTTTAAAGAGATGAAGTGGAATGAAAACTTGTCGGTTTTTTTATTAAGTGTGTACATAGGTTTTAGACGTGAACATACATATGATGTGTCAGTACTGATGACGTTTATTTAAGCACATTAGCAAACATCATATGTAGATTTTGAAATTTTTCATAAATGTGTAAAATTCACATGAAGATTATAAACCTGATCTGCATATGTGTAGCCAAGGATATATGTAACATACTTACCTACACATTTATTTATTTAGGTAATTGTACATTAGACAAAAACATCTAATAGTTGATTTTCTACATACTTGTTTTGATCTTTACTTTTGTATTTTTTTGGGAAAATACTGGGAATTAGGTGATTCTCTATTTTGGATATTCACGTAGATGATGAGATTACCAGATTAGTGAATTTTCGACTGTTTCAGAATTGCCTGGGATATGCAAATTCCCATCCCTGCAGGGATGAACGTATGTACATACATACATATGTAAATAAATATGTTGAGGACAATGGTGTCCAGAAATCTGCATGAACAAAGCGAGGGTGATCCACATTGGTACAACATACATATGTACATACATATGCACCCTTACTTTGGGCTTATTTAATCGAAAAAAAGTTGTAAATTTCCCTTATTACATGAGCAACACAGGAAAAGTGGAAAGCGAGGAAAAAAATAATTGGGATTTTACACATAGATAATACGTGTAATATATGTATTATATACATATATAATATACATATTATGTATGAACATATGTATTCCGACACTCAAGGTACATATATACATAATTCAAAGTTTTGGCTCAAAACGTTTGAGTTATGTAAACAAATTTCATAACATTTATGTGAGAAGTTCTTAGAAAGTGCATTCACAAAATTGAGCTAATTGGATTATGTAGTCCAGAGATAAATCATATGATTGCATTAGTTCACAAATAAAAATATTTATTTGAAAAAATTTGAGTTCATGCGTCAAATATAACAAATAATCGTCGGTTAAGTTCTCGGTTAAGTCTGATAACGAATTAATTCACACGGTGGTAGAGTCACATGTATTGTTTTGGCAATAACGTCATTTCGGAGTGGTGATACATAGTTTGTTTATGAGTGTTAAATTTTGTACACTCTAAGGAAAATGGTATTGAATCATTATTATAGAACATGTACGTATGAATGACTTCACCGTCACAGGAAATACCGTCACAGTCACTGGTAGTACATAACGGACATATGTAAACGTCTAGTTATGGTAATGAAAACTCTTCACTCTGAAACATACTATTACCAATTCGGGAGCAATTTATTACCAGAACGAAGTGTACATAACGTCACCGCATGTTTAACAGTTTGTTTCTCATAGTAGGAAATTTTTATCACAACATTTTGTAATGGTAATATTCGTTGCTATAGGATCGGCAGAGTCATAATATACATATGCATGCAAATTTCTTCTTCGGACGGTGATGAATTAATATAATTTTTTTAGAATAAATACAGGTACTGAGGAAGGTCTACTTACATATATGTACTTACATGTATAATGCAACTGAAGGTGTGTACATATGTACATATTTATGTACGTACGTCATCTTGCAGATATTCCCACGTTACCACATAATTTGCGTACGTATGCACATATTTATGTAACTGACTACAACTTACATAAACATTGCACCCACATTTCCTCATCGAGGGAGGAACACAGGTTTCTATACCTACCTGGATCTACTGATACTTCCAATATTGTTGCGCAATGTGTGGCAATTTTCCCTTGGCCAAAAAATTAATTGCATTAGTAGTTATGTACGTAGTTATGTATGTGCAACTTAATGATGGGTCTTGTAAATAAAAATCAGTTTTGTAAATATCCTCGTCAAGAAATAGGGTTCCAAAAACATGCAGGAACTTGCTAAATTAATAAATCTAGCATTTCATTTAGTGATTGAAATTTTGTAACTTAATTATTTTACTAAATTGGTAGATTTCCCGTAAAGTCAAATAACAAGGGAATTATTGGGTCTAAAAAAATGTAATCTTTGATGCAAATTTATTACAATTTTGTTCAATTAAAAATGTACATATGTAAACTGTTAGAAGTCTGATACAGTCAGGCAGGTATTGATTTCTTGGAACTAAAGTTGCTACCGCTTAATATTAAAATTATACCGGTCCGTAAAAATTTGCTGTCGATACAGTGAAACTTTAATACATCGCTATTACTACTACACGGTATTACTTATCAATACCACTTTGTTCGAGTCATCTATTAGAATAATTATACCGCTTGGTATAATTTTAATGCTGGATTTCTTAAAGTGCAGATCGAACACAGAAAAACTATTTTAATTTGTATAATTTATTCGCTATCTCCATGGTAATTTTGCCCATAATTATACATGTACTACAAAAGTAAATATGCACATAAGTACATACAAGAACCCTGAAGAGTTTGGCACCCTGGAATTCGTTGGTCCTTATCTACCACAATAATCCACCAAATGTGCTGCATTAGGAAGGATTAGTTGAAAGCTTCCATTGTAACCATGGACAAGTTTAAGGAATTATTGACCAAGTCCAATTATCTGACTAGCTTTTTCACATGTAGCATTTTATTTTTAATTTTCCTCATCTTAATCCAAACGTTAATTTCAAGATTTTCTCGAAATGGGAAATTATTACGGAAAATTCCAACTCCCCCAACATTTCCGCTGTTGGGAAACGGCCCTATTTTTCTGGCACCGCTGAAATGTAAGCAATAATTTGGGCAAAATTTAAAAAATTTGTATATAAAATTCAACTTTTCTTGATAAATACTAAGGTAATCATTGCATTACAGACTGGCCGCGAATAATCTCGTGGATGTGTACTTGGTGCGGCCCAACCTTTTGTGTAGATGCCGTCTTCAAGTCATTTATCTTCACAAAGGAACCGGAAGTGATTAAGGTGGGACATTTATAAATAAGTGTATGTACATATTGACGGTATAATAAAGCAGCTATCTGGAAACCATAAGCTTGTAATCCATTGTATTCATGAAATTACGACAATTTCAGTGACTTCTACATAAACACTTAAATTAGCATGATTATCTATTCTGCAAACTTTCCCTAAATAAAATGAGACGTAAATATTTCTAATTTCACAAATGTACAAATTTGAACTATACGCAGTGCCATTCACGATGCAAATATATGCAGGATGCTTATCTACATACATACTTCATTAAAAGATAGATCACAATTTTTTCCCCGCAAGTCGTCTAATATCCAATTAAATGTCTCCACAGAAAATACTGCCATTCACGCGACACTCCGATAAAGCATTTGTCTACAAAATGGGTCATTTTTATCTCGGGGAAAATGCAATTGTTACAGCTCCAGGTAACTATGTTTTTTTTTTTTTTTTACAAAAGTTTGTATTTACATGCATACATCACTTCACATTTATTTATTAAGGAACTAATTACTAAATTATCTCACATTTTACATGTTCCCACAGTTTCTATCTGGAAAGCGGATCGCAAAGTGGTTAATCCTGGACTAAATACGATCTCGAATTTTCCCAAGTTTCTGGAGTCTTTTAACGAAAATGGGAAGCGATTAGCTGACCGATTATTTTCTAACAATGATACCAGAAAAGGGCGAGATATTTACGTCGATTTGTTCCAAACAACGACGGAAATAGTTTTTGGTATGTTTTTTTTCTTTAATTTTTAATCTATGACGTTATTAACCCCGTGTTTATACTCGTCATTTCATTTTCATTTAATTTTAATTTCACTATAGCTTTCGCGTCATTTTCATCGTTGTAATTTATACTTTTTCACAGAAATTCATGAAACATTAATTTTCCGATCATTTCATTTTGCTTTCACAGCAACTAAAAATTAAAATCCTGAATTTGGAAGGAATCTAAATTGTTGCCCTAAACTACGGTTCAGAGAAGCAAAATAGAATAAATATATTTAATATACCACAAATTAAAACCTAGGATACATGATGTAACAAGTAAAAATACAATAAACAAACCCTACAATGCAGCCTGATATAGTGCGACCATAGTTACAGTTGATTATAAAGAAATTAACGCCGTTTTCATTTTCCAAAAGTTGAAACACTTTCAACTTTGGAAAACCGCGTGAAAGTGAAACCAAAATGAAAGCAAAATGAAATGAACGCAACTATAAATTGCAATCATTTTGCTGTTGGCATGGCGTTAATTTTTCGTGAAAGCAAAATGAACCCGAAAAAGTATAAACTGAGTCGATCGTGAAAGTGAAATTAAAATGACGCTAAAATGACGAGTATAAATTAGGCCTAAAGCATCAAAAATCGGAAGATTAAAAAAGCGGTTTTCAGTTATGCTATAATTTTCAAAATTTGGTGAAACTAGTTTTCGGCTTATTCGGAGGTCATGTAAATATTTAGATTTTATTTTATTTTGGAATCGCAGATATGGACTTTTTAAACTATTCACAATTTAAGCATAAAACCGTAAAAAGCTGAATTTTATTATTGTTAGTAATTACAGAAACTTTGACCTCTTTCAGAAACCATGTTTGATTATCCCATCCACGATAAGCCAGATATTGCCCACGATATTGCAAAAGCAGCAATAAAGTAAGAAAACTTGTGTTATTCAGGCAGAGGGTAATCATCTATGTAATTTAAATATTGCTAAATATTTTCGCAATAGTTGTTCGGACGTGGCCAAATCAAAACTGATTCGTCCATGGATAAATATACCACCGACTGCTTATCTTCTCGGTTATACGAAAGTGATAAAGGAGAATGTTGCCATGTTTAGGAAACATTTCAATCAGGCAAGTGCATATTTTTCTAGTTTTTGAAAAATTTTTGTTTTAATATTTGTACATCTCCTTAATTTGTAAAATTTCTTTAATTTTTATTCAGATTCACTGCAAAATGTTGGCGGATGATAAAAGAAGCGTCAAGTTTACTTCATATCTCCATTTATTGTACGAACAACGACTCGCAACCTGTGATAAACTGGACGTGGATGAATTATTTTATCAATTTAATACTATTATTATGGGGGTAAAATTATTAATATTTGCATAACCTTTTGCATAGATAATTCAGTCTTTCACATATGACCTGTTAAAAAATTTGCAAAAAATTAGCACACTGATTTGCAAAATTATTTTCTTTAATATTGTGTACACCATGTACAATCAAAGTACAAACTTGCAATGAGAATTACTTGCCAAAGTGTGAAAAAAAGTATCAAACAAATTTGCATCATCAAAAAGTGTCAATATTTTGCCCTCTTGAAACAAAATTAATTCGTTTCAAAATTTTGAAATACGAATGATGCCTATCGCTTTAATAGGGAACAGAAGTACCATCAACCGTGTTAAGAATAGTTCTCTACCTAATCGCACTTTACCCCGAAGTCCAATTAAAGCTGAGAGAAGAAATTGAAGCCATTTTTGGTATTGGGGCCGATTTTGACGTTAAATTGGAAGACGTCGGGAGATTAAAGTACATGGATCTAGTTCTTAAAGAATCAATGCGTCTACTTCCAGCGACCCCACTTCATGGACGATGTGTTGGAGAAGATGTCGACATTGGTAAACAATCTTTCGACAATTTGGGTTCCGGTTTTTCCATAATTCAACTCGACAAATTGAGCAAAATCGAGGATAAACTCATAATAAGGCAATTGAGGCAGTCCTTTGTAACTTTGTAAAATCCGAAAATTTTGAAAACTAATTTTTACATAATAAACAGACTCTCTTGGTCAGTGTAAACAAATTTGTAAGCTAAGCAATTTTCGTTGAAAATATGTATTTGCAAAATTTTAAGTTTTTAAGCTTATGGAATTTACGGATTTTACAATGTCAGCAACCTCTGCTTGAATTGTCTTAATGTTTATTATGTTACATAGATTTAATGCCACGTGGACCACGTGACGTGGTACTTTTCCATTTTTCACGTGTCAATTTCCACGTGGTCTAATTTCTAGGTATGATTCAAAAGCAGGCTTATTTCTCATTTATTTCATGCAGGTCAAGGTCGTATAATCCCGAAAGGGACGAGCGTCCACTTCCTCGCGTGGGATATCCATAACGATCCCGAGATCTGGGAAAATCCCAAAATTTTCAACCCGGACCGATTTCTCCCGGAAAATTTGATAGGCCGGGACCCATATGCCTACCTCCCATTTTCTCACGGTCCAAGATCATGCCCTGGTAATTAAAATAATATATAGATTCTGAAATTCGTTCAAAATTGTTATCTTGATTTTCCATGTTTAGCACAAAAATTTGGAAACATGGAGCTCAAAGTTCTACTGTGCCAAATTCTGGCCAAACTTGAAGTTTCAACTGACCTTAAATTGGAAGATGTCCGGTACACGTATGGAATCGTGCTACATTTCGATGGGGTCGGACTACCCGTCAGATTTAGAAAGTTGGACTAATTTTAAATCTGTAGTGACTACAACTAATCAATAAAATTAGATTGCAGAATTTTTGCATCACCGCTCTCTGTACCGTTCTTACTGGATCCAATATAAATTTTGTTTCGCATACACATGCATTTTTACATTTATTGAATTAATTTGGCTTTTGAGAAGACGTTTCTAGCAGTGAATGAGAAGTTTGGTAAATTACCTGGAATAAATTTAATGGGTAACAATTGTGAACTACGAATCTTTAAGTTTAAGATGCAAACAGTTGCAAATATGCTACAAAAGTTGCAAGTATTTAATTTTAATATTTTCTGGATAATCCTATAATCTGGATATCCTATTAATTCTTATTCTCATGAAATTACAAGAATGTTTGAGGGGAGTCATTTATTCAATGATTACTTAATGTTTCCAGTAAAGAATGGTACTGAGAGCGGTGATGCAAAAATTCTGCAATCTAATTTTATTTATTAGTTGTAGTCACACCAAGCCTCACTAAGATTTCCCTTTTTTGGGGCCTTGTTTATTGTATCATTCACCCTAATATATCATGTTCAAATTTATTATGATATCCACCTGATTATCATAGATAAATGGACATCGTAATGCGGAGGAAGCTAAAGCTACCCCTATCGGTGTTGCCAAATCACTGCTCGTTGCCTGCAGCCCGTGCCATCAATTTGACATCGGTAAACGGCTGTCATCATATTCTCATCCAACGAAGATGTCCATCGACAAGTAACATTTAATCAGTTTATTTGGGTCAGTTTTAATTGTCATTAACATAGATACATACATACATATGTATACATAATCGTCAAATATTTACATATATATTCGTGCTGGCAAGTGCAATTGTGTGATTTAATACTTATAAGTATTATTCAACAATTGTGACAATTTTAATCTATCTTGTTTAAACTCCAATTTACACAATTTATGATTACAAAATTTACAACATTGTGTAAATATCGATTCATGCAACCTCATTGGATCATTTTTGGTTTATGGTTGAGCAAAGTTTACTCAAGGTTGGGTAAAAATTCATCAATTCGGTTTTACTCAACCTGTGTGCACAACTTTATTTAGCCTATAGGCTAAAGAGACAATTTAAATATCAGCATTTACTTCTTTATGCTAAATTTTTTCTACGTACATGAGTATAGAGCTATCCAAATAATTTCAATGTTAATCTTACAAAAATCGAGGAAATTTCATGGTTTGTAAAATTTTGAAACATTTAAATGTTTTTTTTTATATAGTACATAATTGACAGTTTCCGATTTTTTTCTACCATATCTACATAAATATGTATGTATCTTGATTCCTTGTATTTAGTTTGGCAGTTACTTTTGGTCGACGTTTGACGCAACAGAAAGTTAGAAAGTTACATCTTGTTAATGACATTACGGATTTTTTTAAAATTTGTCCGCAAAACTTTGCGCATTTTCTCATTTTTCAGCCGATGCTGGTCTTTTATTTAACTACCAACATACAGAATGATGACTATTTTTGAATACAATTTAGCTAAATAGCTTGTTTCAATAGTTGGCAGTAAGTATAACTGCGTCAGAAGGTAATTTTGCGCTCATTTTAAATCAATAAGGCGAGTAAAAATCAATATGCAAATCATATGTATATCTGAATTACTTAGCAATAATAGAAAGTTTCTTTGATCATGTAGTAATTGACTAAGATAATCCTCTTGAGTGGCGTAAATGCGCACTTGTATACATACTTACACTCTAAGAAACCCGGTAACTAAGTTATTACCAGGCGGAGTATCTATATGACTCTACCGCATGGTAATTTATTTATTATTGAGTGGTAGACATTTTGTTACCAAACCGGTAATAACCCCGATCGCGAAATTTGAAAATATTACCAGTCGGTAACTAATTTTCTACGACTCAATAATGAATTAATTACCATGCGGTAGAGTCACATAGATACTCCGCCTGGTAATAACTTAGTTACCGGGTTTCTTAGTGTGTAGTACCTTTTTCGTTTGTTGATATTTGCATTACGAAAAAATTAACGAAATCTAAATAGTTCAAAATTTCTGAATATTTTTGCTTCAGGCAGTAGACATAGAGCTAAGTTCATAGTGTAGTACATAGCGAATTATTCAGTGGCAATTATCATATCTTCATCCGAGCTTGCACGTTGCAAATGTTGTTTAGCTGCTTCCTGTCTTTCTTCCAATACAACTGATGGAGCAAACCCCGTAGGAATGTAGCAGCCCATTTCTGCATTAAGAGGTTTCCTGTGAATGTATATGGATAAATGTGTGGTAGTGCGTTAAACTGTATTGCAGTATAATGGTAGCAGCCTTCGTTAGTGGAACTAAGGGTTGTTTGAAACCCATACAAAGATTTCACTGCTTCATTAAGCATGCCAGCGAAAAGTTTTTCAGTAGTCACGAATTCATACTCTAGCTCAGGGATGTATAAAAAACCAATTATGTTTTAATAAGGGCAGAATCTGTCCGTTTTAGAAAAAAACATCTAAAGCGGCCTGGCAAATGCCGGTATTTTTGGTGCAACTATTCCCCTCTTTTCCCGGTGTAGTGAACAATTGGTACCCTGCTCTCAAATCCGGTCTGAATTTTTTTCTCCAAAAGCCCTGAGAATTTTTTGGGTCCTCGGTAGATGGTACTGTGGTTGTTGTAGATTTCTGTCTAAATTGACTGGAAATTCCAACTGTCCGCCGTTTGTTTCCGGTTTTCAATCAAGCGTCATCAGGGTCAGTCTTGCATTGGTATTTGCGGTTAAGCGTTATCTTTCCTACCCTAAGAAGCGGCCACTGGTATATTGATCGTTTCACCTTCATTTCACGACAAGAGGTACGCTCTATGGAAAATTCGCAATCCTACCTTCATCCTTTATTAGCAACAAGTTTTGTAACCCGTCTAAACGGGTTACTAAACCCAGCGCCAAGTTCAAATGGTAACACATTCACACTACCCAATTCTTATTACATTATTATTGGTTGTTTTTGACCCTGAATTTAAGTACATAAGGCAAATAGATTCTCGTTAATATAATTGTACGTATTCGAGAAAGTTAAATACTTTACAGTTTTCCAGTTGCATGAACAGATACGCTAATCTCATTTCACTAACATAGAGGCCAACTTGTGAACGTCTTATAAATAAATGATGTAGGCAAATATTACCGCAAAATATTTATTTTCGGTCGAGGCAATCTAAATAATTTTTCCATTTAGTATGGTATGTCCCTCTTGAACCGAAACTTGTAAGTGGGAGGACCGACAGACAACATACATACCTAGGAGTTTCACTAATTAACTTAATTATGCCAAATAATACTTTGCTTTATGATACGGTTTCTGTTAACCTTCGACCACTTTTTCTGCAGGCTTGAGACAGTAGTCATAATCCAGATTAACATATTTCGCCCGTCTTAAATTCATTCCCACCGTGCACGGAGTGAGCCACATAATCCTTGCATGATTTATGTATCTGGTTTCGCAAAATCATATTCATGAAGCATTCGAGTTCAGTAAAATACATACATTTGTTTTTTGACATTTGTCTTAAAACTGCGTATTGCAGGAAATAAAGTGAATTTTATACTCAGTCAAATTAGTCTATAAAAATTTCTAGAAATCTGAAATTTCTTAAAAACTTAATATAAAGAATTATATTCGCATAGAATGGAAAATATGGAGTAAATTCATTCGTATGTACACACACATCTTGATAAATATTAACATTCGGAGACTATTTTAGTCTATTCAGTTTATCAAGTAGTCTACAAATCCGGTTATGCATTAAACGAAGACGTTTATCAAGTATTTTCCCATCGCAATCTGTACATAATTCTATGCTAATAGTATTAGCACAATTATTACACAAGTATTAGCCTAATACTTGTGTAAAATACATATTTACTACAGATGTGGATTGGGTTATTGTTAAGTATTTGTTAATAAAGTTCACTTTTTCACAAAGCTTGCACCATTTAAGTGGTTAGTTTGTAAATAGTATTAAATTACCTTTTTCAACCTATGTATTCCACTAATGTAGGATAGGCAACACTACAACTGCATAAACGTAATTAAGTTGATAATACAATGTCTTAAGTACCATACATATGTACATGTACTAATTAATAAATATGCCACACTTTTAACTGTACTCATTTTGTGGAGTAGATTTTCGTTTTCACAACCATGAAAATTATCTGTAATTATGTCAAGTAAATTAAGTTAATCATAGAAATTAGGATCACAAGCATCAATACAAGCAAATGTGTATGTATCATTTTATTTAACATGTATTCTAGATTTTTAATGTTTGAAAAGCGAATTTTATGTTCATAAGATCAAAAAGTAAACAAAATTGAATTCTTCAAAATGGGAATATGTCGTTGTTTATTCGAATTTATTTACATACATATATGCACGAATAACATATCCATATGCAGCATAAATTAAACCCTTGATTTTGTAAAGAACCGGACAGTTACATAGTACATCATTTCTGACGTTGCAATTTCGGAGGACATCATCACCTTAAAATTGAGTGCACGATTCGGGTAAGTCTTCTCATCTCGCATAAAAGAGCATGCTCAAAAGATTGCAAAATTTAAGAGAATTGCATATTTACATACGTGTGACGGTGAACAAAGCATATTTATGTATTTATGTATGTATGTATTCCTCCCAAATTTCATATTTACACAATTATCATTCTTGAGCCTAAGAGGTATATATATGTACATATGCATATCTAGCAATCATTATCCATTTAATCCGATAATAAATTCTAACTTAACCTTGCAAAGTATGTAGCGACAATAAAAATAATGCAAAATTTCATAAAAAGGGGGTTATATAAAATTGATGATTAGTGACTAACCTACAAGATCCCTATATTAGAGTCTCACCTTCACTTCAATTTGGTTTGGGTGCATATATACACAAATATTTACCCGAACTGTATTATATTTTTATTATATAATATCAATATACGTTATTTTATTTATTTATATGAACTAACTTTGTCATATTTACGGATTATTTATTTGTATTGCGGGTTTTGTTTTTACGACAACTGGAACTATTAGTCAACATAATCCAAGCAATCCTGAGTCAATAAATACATATTTATTTATTTCTCATACAAACGTTGCAATTTTCTTCCGCGAATTTCTTTAATAATGATCCTCGTGCTAAGAAACGTAGTTGTCGTGATTATCTAATTGCCGATAAATATATTCACGATACCAGCAATATAATCCAAATCATCATTTACTGTTTGTGATGTACATATTTATATCTGAAATTACTATAATTACTGGTCACAAATAATTAAAATGATACATAGACCTCGAATGTCATCGTAATTAATTTTTAACATTGTCTATCGAACAATAAATTATAATTAACATTAAATACGACAACAGCTTTTAATTTCACAATTAATTTTTGCACACACAGTTATGTACATATATGGCCAATAGGATCAAATATTTACTACACGTGACAATGTTCGTCACGATATTAAGTAAATTGTCATGATTTTCTTTGCCACTGTAAATATTTAAGTGGGTATTTATTAAGTTACTCTAATTCCCGTTTTCTTTAAGGTTTCTTCATTCTCATTTCCAACGTGACACGGGTAACAGTACAAACGTTTAAGATACATTTCACAAAATTAAAAAAAACACAATTTTCCAAAATTTTCGAAAATGAATCAACTAATTTCATCCCGATGTCTGTCCGAACTTGGCTCCTGGATTGAATATAGTCGCACCGTGCTTAACCTCCCGTTTAAATGGAACGCTTCGATGGAACGTCCTATTCGAATCTCGCGTTCGAGAAAGCGAAATTTAGGCCTTCGTTGTATCGTGGTGGTCATGTCGCTCCATCTTGTGTACATGTTTGGTCAAATGTTCCACTTCTTCTTTTGGACCGAGTTGGGACAATGTGTTCTGAAATCGGGGTCGAATAATTCTCACCATGGCAAAAAATGTCATAAGGGGTACATCATCCTGAGCTGGATTGTTATCTACACGCAGGCCTACTTCTGGTCGGTTTCGGTCATTCTGAACTGCTACTTTAACCGAGAAGAGTTTGCAGATTTCCTCAACGCCCTGACCACCATCGGGAGAAGTATGGATCGTGAAAATGGTAATGATTTTCCTTCAATGGTGTCTCGATACTGAAAAATAATAAGTCCTCTTAAATCGAATATTGAGGCAATTCACGCCGTGGTTGGTAACTTGTAAAAGCAGTAAATATGTAAGTCTGATAACTTTCAGTAAACGATAGAACGACAATATTTGTTGCGAAAGACGACTAAATCTACCCGATTCGGACTCTGACTCGTTATTTTAGAAAACTTGTCTCAATGAAAAGTCAGATACACTCCCAGAACTTTTATTGACCCCGAAAATTATCAGTGTCACAAAAGTCTCTAATTTCTGACAAGAGTTCACAATCAATTCTACAATTTTCTACATATCCAAAACGGTATCGAGTTTTTTCTGTCTATCATTTTTACATACAAGGCCATAGAAATGTCTGGCAATTATTTTACAATAAAAATTCTAAATATGTACATACGGCGTAATTTGACGATTTGTAAAAGTTTGAAAGTTTGTGCGCTCACGAATTTTGAAATATTACCAAGGACTCGGTAAATTCCCTCATTGCAAGCCATGGAAATCCGTACATATCTTTATGCTTTACTTGCGTGAAAGTTTATATTCTTTCGAGTTTTTTTAACGGCTTATGAGCAGCTTAAAAATT